GATCACAGCAACTCATAAAGAAAACATTTCATTGAGGTGGCTGGTTTACAGTTTCAGAAATTCAGTGTCATTATCATCATGGCAGGGAGCATGGCAGCATGCAGGCAGATGTGATGGTGCTAGCTACAGCTTGATCAGAAGGCAACAGGAAGTGAACTGTCTCACTGAACATGGCTTGAGCATATATGAACCCTCAAAACCCACCTCCACAGTTACACACTTCTGCCAATAAGAACATACCTACAAACATACAATACCAACAAAGCCACACTTCTTAGTAGTGTCACTTCCTTTGGGTGCCATTTTCTTTCAAACGACCACATTTCATTCCCCAAAGGCTTGTTGGCATATCATAATGCAAAAATATATTCAGTCCTACTTAAAAGTTCCCCATAGTCTGTAACAGTCTCAAACATATTTAAAAGTCTAAAGTTCAAAGTTGCTTCTGATATTCATGCAATCTTTTGACTTTAATCCCCTGTAAAATCAAAATCAAAAAGCAGATCGCATGCTTCCAATGTGTAGCAGCACAGGAAATACACTACCCTTCCAAAATCTAGGGAAGGGAACATATTGAGGAAATACTGGACCAAAGTAAGACCAAAAAACAGCTGGACAAACTCTAAACTCTGCATCTCCATGTCTGATGTCTCTTCAGAACTCCAATTCCATTCAGCTTTGTTGACTGTAACACACTTCTTTCTCTTGAGCTGGTTCCACTCCCTGTTAGCAGCTTTTCTCAGAAGGTATCCCATGACTTTGGCATCCCTAACATCTTACTTAAGTCTCCAAGGCAATCCAGGCTTCCACTTCACAGCTTCGGAAATGGCCTCTCTAGGTTTCTATTCAGAGACACCCCTGACACATGCCTGACCTCAGCATCTTTCCTCAGGTGTGGAGGCAAATTCCATGACCTATTTCTTCTATCCTTAACTCTAAAGCCAGAATCATGTGGCTAAAGTTGCCACATTGTGCTGCTTGCTGGGGCTGGAACATAGCCCGGTCATTCAATTACATCATCACCAGCTTTCTGTTTTTGAATGTTACCTTTACTGCCTAAGCTTGACTATCCTTGAACTTGCTCTGTAGACCATGCTGGCCTTTAATTTAGATAACCACCAGCCTATTCTTTCCAGTGGTAGGATTAAAGGCATGCCACTAAGCTTTTCTTTAATTCCTTTTCACAAATTGGAAACTTAGCTGGGTGGAATCTTGACTGAGGTCACCACTCTCTTTATTTGATTCCTTAATCTGTTTGTCTCCTTGAACACAGGTGCCCATTTTCTCAATCTGTACATTTTGTATTTTTCCTTGCTCAGCTTGCTCTTCTTCATTACAAATCTTCATTAGAGTTACCACTAATAACCACACAACAGAGGATACTAGGCTGTTTTGAGATTTCTCTGCCAAAAGAAGTAATTAAAAAGTTTTTACTTTAGCCTCAGGCAGACTCTTCAGACAAGGGCAACAAGCAGCTGCTTTCTTCAACAAAATGTCACAGGAACAATCTTTAGGCAACATCCTAAATTCTTCTTCTCTGAACCCTCTTGAGCCATTCCCCCGTAGAACGAATAACTCTTAGCACCACTATCTTCCATGCTCCTACTAGTATGGCCCATTAAGCCATCCTTAAAACATTCCAGGCTTTCCCAACCCTAAGTACCAAAGTCCAAATTCCTCCAAGTAAAAACATGATCAGGCCTATCACAGCAACACCCCAGTCCCTGGTATCATCTTCTGTCTTAGAATTTCTTTCACTGTGAAGAGACACCATGACCACAGTAACTCTTATAAAGAAAAACATTTAATTGCGGTGGTGGCTTACAGTTCAGAGGATCAGTTCATTATCATCATGGCAAAGTATGACAGCATGCATGCAGACATGGTGCTGGCTACATCTTGATCAGAAGGCACAGAGAGTGGATTGTCTCACTGGGCATGGCTTGAGCATATATGAACCCTCAAAGCCAACCTCCACAATGACACACTTCCTCCAATAAAAACATACCTACAAATACATCATACCAACAAAGCTACACCTTCTAATAGTGCCACTCCCTTTGGGGACCAATTTCTTTCAAACCACCATGATCTCTATGATGTTCTTGCAGTCTCAATAGTGACAAGAACCTTATATATTCCTTCTGATTGCTAAGAATCATGGAGGGCATCTTTTCCAAATTGTATTCCTTTTTATCTCTCTCACTACTCTTGGTGTCCTAACACAGCTATGCCAACCCCTGTCACAAGCAACCAGAAATTTTTGGGTTGATTTGATATAATAAATAATTATTTCTCATTGAAAATGTTTACCAATACATATTAAAAGAGTGTAAAAAGGAAGCACATTCCACTGAAACTTATGGGATTTGTATTTCCTTTCAGTCTCACTTGCAAGGACTTAGTGCTTCTAGTTCCTCAGTTGGATCCCTCAGATCTAGATTGGCACAAGGAAATAGGGCAGAGCGTTGTGCAGAATTCTACCCAAGGCCAGGCATAGAAATGGCAAGCTTCATTTTATCAATACTTGCCTGGTCAGCATACAGCCACATGATCAGGTTGTTCTTACACACCAATGAGGAGAGAGAAAAGGGGTTTACATGGAAAGCTGTCAATCTCTGTGTATGGAAATGAATATTTCACCCTAATGTTTTAAATAACTTCTTTGTGGTCATATAGATAACACACCAAGGACTAGGATTCAAATAAAATTAGCTTGATTCCCTAAACACTTTTCTTTCTATATATAGTTTCAGGTGGATTGTACCTTTATTTACCTTTTGGAAATAAGGGGGAACTAATGGTTGCTAAGCTTTCAACTCTCTGATAGTTCACTTCAATTGTCAACTTGATAAAATCTGGAATCGCTTGGGAGACTAGGCTCTGAACATGTCAGTGTGTGATTAACATCAAGTGAATCGTGTGGAAGTACACATCCACTTTAGATGGCAACATTTAATCGGTCAAAATCAAGAGAGAGACAGAGAGACAGAGACAGAGACACAGAGAGAGACAGAGAGACAGCTCTATGTTCCTGATTATGGATGTGATGTAACCAGCTCCTTTAGGCTCCTGCTGCTATGATTTCCTTGCTGTGGTAGGGCTATAACTCTGAATTGTGAGCCAAAGTAAACCTTATTTCCCATGTTTCTTTTGTCATTGAATTTTTTTTACAGCAACAGGAAAATAAACTAAGACATCCTCCCTTGCTCTTTTTCGTAACTCATTTGATTGATGAATGTCATGGAAGTACAGCCATTTTCCTAGCTTGGTGACAGTGACCTCTCTAGAGTTACTGTGTTCAGACAACTCCTGTCTGTCTTCCTGCTACAAGAAGCACCTGCCTTTTGAGAGTCATCTTGTAGCTTGTCCTGAACTAGAAGTGTACATACATAAGGAAGTTTTTACAGTTTCCCTGTGTATCAAGTCCACTTCTCCAATTAAATTTTTCAGTAAAACTACTTGATTTCTTTCAGTCTCGATGCTCTCTCCCATATGATACAAAATTTCAGAGGAAGAAAAATGTAGTATCACTTGTCATATAATAATCTACTCTTAAATTTACTTTGCTAGAGTACCAGGAGATTAATATATAAAATAAGAATCACTATATGCCTAAGGTGACTAACCCCCTCACAGAATGCAGTATTGCCACAGAAAGTTCATGAAGATTAGAACAATAGATTTTATATGACACATGATATTCCACAATTGTACTTTTTTTAAAAAATTACATGTTATATGCACGTGTGTGTGTGTGTGTGTGTGTGTGTGTGTGTGTGTGTGTGTGTGTGTGTGTACGCTCACACATATAGGTAATCTGGAGGCCAGAAACTGGTATATTGATGTCTTCATCAGTTTTCAGTTTTTCTGCCTTATTTTTTGAAGTAGGGTCTTTTTACTAAACTTAGAACTGGCCATTTTGGATGGTTGTCCAGCAAGCTCCCAAGAAGTGCCCACCTTTGCACACCCCTCCCCGTGTAGCCTTTGAGTTACAGATGTGTGTCACCATGCCTGGCTTTTTATGGGTGCTTGGAATCTGAACTCAAGTCTCCACACCTGTGGAGCAAGCACCTTACCCAAGGAGTCATCTTCCCAGCCCTCACAGCTTTGTTTTTGATCGTGCTGCTCAGCTTTGCGTATCAGAACGAGAACAACAGACTACAATAGGTGGCATAATACACAAACGATTCTAAGAGCAGCTTTGCTGGATTTCTCAGTATGTAGAAGCAGAAACTCATGCCAGGCTAGAGATTAATGAAGAACAACAAGAAAAGGAAAAAAAAAACACTAAAGCTCAGAAGGATTCAGCTAAGCAAAAAGTTTAGAGCAAGATCATAATGAGCACGAGGACCCTCCCCCCAGTCATGGTCCAGCTTTCACTATTTAATTTTAGAGCAAATATCATGTTTATTAAGAATACTTAATTCACTGTGGGGACAAATAACATACAAACATATATACACTCAATAACAAAAGGTTACTATTTCACCTTAGTTAATCCACAAAGAGAATATAAAAGCAATTAATTAGCATGGTGCTTTATATTTTAATAGGATTATTGTTTTTAATGAATATTTTTTATCACAGTGGAAAATAAGGATGATGAAAGCTCAAGTGACATGCTCTAGGTCATACTGTAAGTACAAAGCTGAGCTATGAAACAAGCTGAAAGTCCCTCTCTACCACTTATAAGAACAACATAATAAAATCTGTTATAATAGCATTCTAGTTTTGTCATAAAACCATAACAAACCATAGTTATTACATGAAAAATAGAGTAACTAATATTTGCCTAGTAAAACTATAGTAAATTGGTTCTAGTATTAGCAACACTATAATAATCATACTGAAAAATAGCTGCATGTTACAATCTGTATATTTACTACACTATTATAATAATTATAGTTCTACCATAGATTTCTTTTGTACAAAAGCTAAATTTACTCTAGTAATTGCATTCTCTTTTCTTGTCTGCATAATTATAAGAATATAAAAGTGTAACTTTTGATGTGAAGCATGAATGCTTCACATTTCTTACCATTATTAAATGATATGGAATAAAGGAGGAGTGTTTAAAAAGGAAAAACACACAAAAATTTATACACACACACACCTGTGTGAGAGCAGGGAATACTTGGAGAGATGTCAAAACCAAAAGGCAAGTTCATGGCAAAATTTAAGTGTTGAGAAATTAATTGGTTTAATAAATACCAAAACCTAAAGTGTCTGCATTTAACAAATTATTTAGCCTGTCTTATGCCATCACTGTAAAGGACACTTCACTTTTCCATTAAGGATGAGCCTGGACTTCCCTGAAGATGCACCCAAAAGACCGTGATATACTGGTGAACAGCAAGGAGTTCAGCAGAACTCAAAACAGATTCTTGGCCACATCTAAATTTTGTTCATTGACTTATGGGCATTTGTTCTGAGGACTTGGTTTTACAAGGCCCGCTCCTGTTATATAATATTATTTTAAGGTATGTTATGTTTGTTTATGTTGCATTTGTTTAACTCTGTGAAGCTGTGTTACTTTGCCGGTTTAAAACACTTGATGGTCTAATAAAGAACTTAACGGCAGGAGAAAGGATAGGAGTCAGAAAGGATAAACAGAAGGAGAGATCTAGGAGGAAGAGAAGTAGCAAAAGGAGGAGGAGGACATCAGGGCCAGCTACACAGCAAGCCATGGAGCAAGAGTAAGAAATATAGAAGTAGCAAAAGAAAAAAAGCCCAGAGGCAAAAGGTAGATGGGATAATTTAAGTTAAGGAAAGCTGGCAAGAAACAAACCAAGCTAAGGCCAGGCATTGCTAATTAAGAATAAGCCTCCATGTGTGATTTATTTGGGAGCTAGGTGGCAGGTCCACCAAAGAGACAAAGAGCGAAAACAAACAACAACACACTCCTTCAAAAGCTATAATTCTTCCTTCTTCCCTTAAGTTCAAGTGACCATATAGTCGCCAAGTAACCACATATGGTAAAGACTGCTTAGGTGCTCATCAAGTCTGTTAGTATTTCCTAAACATGTACTTAAAGAATATTACCCAATCTGTGGCTTAGTAGAGGGTCTCATGACCCAGAGAGCATGGGCAGAACTGACTTTCTGACTCACCCAGGATGTCTCTCCCATTTCAATTTATTAAACCTTTCTGGAATGGGTAAGGGATGAAACACTGCAAGATGACAAGAACTATGGTCTCTGAGTTTCCTCCTGTCCTGAAGCTTTTCAGCCAACATGGCTATAAAGTGATCGGCTACTCTGGTCTAGACTGTATTGTGCCATGAAGACTTCGGAGTTTTTTTCCTTAGCACTAAAATTTCTTAATGTAAAGCCTCTTTAGCTTGGGATTTGACTGTCGGAGCAGTCACAGAAAACAACAGATTTCATCCTTTCTGCACTTTATCCTGTTTTTCTCAAGCCTCTCCGCCCACCTCCTTCTTCCCTCCCTTTGCCCACTCCTCCTTTTCTCCTTATCTCCTTCATGTCCCCTCTTCCTCATTAATGGAGATGGGTAAGTAGAAGGCTGCAGCACTCCCTTCCTGCTTGTCTTGGTTTTCTTCTTTCAGTTTCCAGTGGTATTGTTTTGCTTGTGTTTGGCATTGAAAAATAATATGTATATTTAAACACACAATGTTTTGACTGTAACCTATTAAGAGCCTCTGCCTAAAATCTATAGAAATCTAGCACTGAGATCTAAGCAATAAAAGGTTTATGTTTAAACTGTCTAAATAGCTCAGGGATGTATTGCAACAGGGGATTTCTCATTATTTAACACTACTTATACTAAGGGGGCAAACAGCAGCAGTTTTAATTTTGAGCTCCAAAATTCCTAAGGCAGAAAACAATTTATTTTTCATTATGTTTACAATGTTGTTTGTTTTGTATTTATTTGGGTTTTTTTTCCCTGTGATTTCCTGTCTATTATTTGCTTTTGGAACTTGTATTGTCTCCTCAATCCAGTTTCTGCCACACACCTCCCACTATGTACTTCAAAACTATCTTTTTCAATCTTTCAAAGAAAACCCAGGTACATGACTCCCAATCCCACATGAATAACAATTTATGTGAATGTTATCCAACTCAAAATGCATTAATTCAATTACTTCCTGTTACCTTAGATAAAGTATGAGTTATCATGCCTCTTACATATTACCAGTGGGTATTATTGAGAATACAGGAGATTCTGCCTTCAGTATCCCAAAGAAAATTATTTAAAGAGGGCTGAAAAGATATCTCAGTCACTATAGAGCCTGCTGCTCAAGAAAGAGGACCTGAGTTCAGACCCTAGCACCCACATTAAAAAGCTTGACTTGGCGGCACTTCCCTGTAGTCTTAGTGCCAGAGAGGCAAAAAGAGGAGATTTTCTGCAGCTCACTGTCCAGCTAGTCTTGCTGAACCTAATACAAGTTCAGTGATAGACTGTCTCAAAAAATAAGGTGGAGACAGGTACAAGAAGAGACTTGATATTACCTGTACATGTGCTCACACACATACAACGCACTCAACACACAGATAAAATACATTGTGAGAGAAAGTACAGTAAAACAGCAACTGATAGATGTTAGAGTTGTTTACTGTATTGTGTTGTTTGTTTGTTTGTTTGTGGTTCTGGGCATTGAACCTGGGGCTTTGCACATGCTAGACAGGTGCTATTCCAGTGAGCTGAGCCCTTAATCCCAACTTATCATTAATTGCTTAGAAGGGACGTCATTTAAAAAGAAATTGTCAAAGGCAGGTTTTACTGTGAATTAAGTTTAGATCTATTGTTATCCATTCTGATAAGCGCTAATTTGGTTGCTTTGCCTGTCCGTCAGGAGCTTGAGAGCAAGTGCTGCCGCTGAACTGTGGCTTTGGGCTGGGCAGTCTTAGGGCATTGCCCAGCCTGCACTTAGGTCCCGCCCTCTCCAGCCTATGCCACACAATCAAGGTAAGTTGTGGGAGTGGGTCAGTCAGAATGGAGGACATTCCTGAGCCTGAAATTCAGCCTGTGGTGGCCAGACTCAGGACACTGCTGAAGTGGAAGCTCAGCCTGAGAAGGAACTTCAGTCCTGTCCTTCAGGAAGGGATAGATCAAATACCTGAGAATAGGTCTAAGAAGAAGTTCTCTTCAAAAGGCATATTCTTAATTATAAAAGTAAGAGCTAGAGTAATATTCCTCCTATTGCTAGAACAAAAGAATAAGAATATCCAAAAACATTTTGACTTTTGGAATACCATACTAGAAGTTTTTCATCTTATTTGGTATAGATAATTACATCTATAATCAATTGAATTAAGAAACAGGGAACTCAGATAGAAGGAAATCTGTTGGAGTATGCATGTATGATCCAAAGGAGTTTTTTTTTTTTTCAAGAAAAACATTCCTGCTTCTAAAATCAAGTCACCTTGAGGAAAGGAAAACTCTCTGCTAATGTTCTCCTCTATCTCCAAAGGGAATAATTATCCACTGAAGTAGCTCTGTGGACTTCTTTGCCATTTTTCCTATTAGATTCTAGAAGCGTCTATTAATCAGCTACTCCTGCACACTAATGAGAGCTTGTGAAACAATGGTCAGATCTATGAATGTGAGACAAGAACTATAACATGGGCTCTCTTGTGGTGGTGGTAGTGGTAGACATCATGACTTGTGGGCATCTTGGCAAAATAGATAAATGCCTCTTAGACAGGATCATATAAAATGACAGCATGGGCCAGCAGGACAAAATGGCTGTGCTGTACTGTCCAGATCAGGCAGGTAAGGCAGGAAGCTTTGCTCTTGGAGAAAAAAAACTGCTGTGGAATGTCTTTCTGCATGCTGTGAATATGTGTTGCTCTGATTGGTTAATAAATAAAGCTGTATTGGCCTATAGCAAGGCAGGCAGGAAATACAGGCATATAGACAGGAAGAAGAAAGACAAAAGGGAATAGACGCTAGCCAGCCACCCAAGGAGCAATGTGTAATGGGACGCAGGTTAAAGCCATGGAACATGTGTTGACATGTAGATTAATAGTTATGGGTTAATTTAAGATATAAGAGCTAGCTAGGAAGAGACCTGCCAGAGACTATACAGTCTGTAAATAATATAAGCCTTTCTGTGTTTACTTGGGTCTGAGCAGCTGCAGGACCAGGTGAGACACAGGAAAACCTCTAGCTACAAAAAAAAAAAAAAAAAAAAAAAAAAAAAAAAAAAAAAACCTATTCTTGTCATCCATGTATGGGGATAGCCAGGGGATAAGGGTTTTCATGCTCACAGAATAATGGTCATATTCAAAGGGCTAAGTGAAACAATTATAATAATAATTGTAAAGGAAGACCTTGTATATATTTGTTCATCTAATACCACATACTTTCCTCCCTGTTTCTATCTCTATACTGTGGGAAAGAGAAGCTAATCTATACTTTCATAAATGGCAAAGGTCTTTTTGAATGTACTCAGTAAGAAAGAAAATAAAGACGCCACTCTAGACAAATAAGTAAGAAGTCAAAGCTAAAAAGACAAGGCCCCTCAAAATCTGAGCCTGCAGGTAGTGAGGATTTAGATAACAATGTTAGTCACCAGCCACAGCCTTCAGCTGTTAGATATTAATTCTATCTATGGCACTGCTATAGCAACTTTAACCTTGAAAAACAACTTAAAATAAAAAGTGTTGATTTATGCCATCTGTGAGTTCGAGGCCCGCCTGGGTTAGAGAGTGAGTTTCAGGAAAGGCACAAAGCTACATGGAGAAATCCTGTCTCGAAAAACAAAAAAACAAAACAACAACAAAAAAAGTATTGATTTAATTGCACAAGCAATTATGTGGTTCACACTGCAGGTCTTGCTGGCTTTCACTTGCACCTCACTGGCCCTCAGTGCTGAGGTATGTTACTTGTATGCAGCAGAAGGATGGATCCTGTTTTTGAATCCATTCTATTAGTCTGTTCCTTTTTATTGGGAAATTGAGCCCATTGATATTGAGAGATATTAGTGACCAATGATTGTTAATTCCTATTACTTTGTTGTTGGTGGTGGTGGTGGTGATGGTGGTATTATTATGGTATTTCTTCATGAGATTCTTATTTTCTGTGTTTTCATGGGTATAGTTAACCTCCTTTGGTTAGTTTTCTTTCTGGTGTTTTCTGTAGGGCTGAATTTGTAGCTAGATCTTGTTTGAATTTGACTTATCATCAAATATCTTGTTTCTCTGTGTATGGTGATTGAAAGTTTTTCCTGGGTATAGTAGTCTGACTGGTATCTGTGGTCTCTTAGAGTCTGCAGCACATCTATCCAGTACCTTCTGGCTTTCGGAGTCTCCATTGAGAAGTAAGGTGTAATTCTAAAAGGTCTACCTTTATATGCTACTTGCTCTTTTTCTCTTGGAGTTTTTAATATCATTTCTTTGTTCTGTATGTTTAGTATTTTGATTATTATGTGGCAAGGAGACTTGCTTTTCTGGTTCAATCTCTTTGGTGTTCCATATGCTTCTTGTACCTTTTTAGGAATCTCCTTTAGGATAGAAAAATTTTTCTTCTAAAATCTTGTTAAAAATATTTTCTGGGCCTTTGAGCTGGCAACCTTCTCCTTCTTCTATTCCTATTCTTCTTAGTTTTGGTCTTTTCATAGTGTCTCAGATTTCCTAGACATTTTGTGTCATTCATTTTTTTAAGATTCAGCATTTTCTGTGACCAACATATCTACTACTTCTGTTGTGTCTTCAAGCCCTAAAATTCTTTCTTCCATCTCTTGCATTCGGCTGGTGATGCTTACATCTGTAGCTCCTGTTTGCTTTCTTAGACTTCTCATTTCCATTTCAGTTTCTGTTTTCTTTATTGATTCTATTTCCATTTTCAGGTCTTATATAATTTCATTCATTTCCTTCAACTGTTTGTTCATTTTTCCTTGACCTCTCTTTAAGGGATTTATTTATTTCCTCCAATTTTTGTTCGTGTTTTTCTTGGTTTTTTAAATGGATTTATTCATTTCCTTTTTAATGACCTTTATCATCTTCATAAAGTTGGCTTTAAAGTCATTTTCTTTTGCTTTAGTGGTGTTGGAACTTTCAGAGCTTTCTGTGGTAGGATAGTGGGGTTCCAATGGTGACATATTGCCCTGGCTGTTGTTGGTTTTATGCTGGCATTTAGGCTTCTGGGTTTAAGGTGTCTATAGGTCTAAGTCCCAATTTCTGAGTTTGTCTTTGTTGGATGGGTGTTTTGTTCCATGGTTTCTGTTTCCTCTCTGGTCTTCTTGTCTGTGTGGCCTGGATTTCTGGAAACTGGTGTGGCCTCTGGTCCAACAGGGGCATCCCCAAGTTGGGGGCTTCAGGCAAGGTGATGAGGAGGCGAGGTCAGATTTGGGGTAACTGGCCCCCAAAGAGTGAAGAAGGTCCATGGACGGGCAGCCTATCTGAAGTTTTAGCAGCAAGAGGGAGTCTCTGCCTGAGTTGGGGACTGGAGTTCCGGTGGCTGGTGTGGCCTGCACCTGAGCAGTGGGAAGATGGGTGGTGGGGAGGTAAGGGGTGGCTGCAGATTTGGTCTTCGGGAACAATAACCCAGGGAGTGGAAAAGGTCTGTAACTACTAGAGAATAGTGTTAGTAGTTCTTTTCTATAAATTCTTGATTCAACTTCTCTCTCTCTCTCTCTCTCTCTCTCTCTCTCTCTCTCTCTCTCTCTCTCTCTGAAAAAAGGAGATGTAAGCATTGAAAAAATTACTAGTCCAAATTCAGTAGTAGATTATCAAATAAATAAATACTTTTATCTGTACCCACAAAATAAACCAAAAACTTAATATATCCCAATTCAAAAGAACCTGAATAGTGAATAATATTCTTACCACATTCAGAGCACTGAGGGAAGTTAATACATCATCAGTCTCTGCTTTCCCACAAGCTAACATTGAACCCATTTTTCTTTCTTCATTTGTCAATGAGCTCTGCTAATCTTAAGATTTCACTTTGTATGTTGGAGTACTTTTCAAATAGCTACCACAAAGGAGAATGTGAAGTTTGAGAAAGATAGAGCTTGAATTTAGTAACTATATCGAACATCTGTGGCTATGAGTAGAAACAAACTGCCCCAGATGATTATGGTACCAAGAGTAAGAAAGAGAAGCAAAGTTCTAGACAAGATCCCTGAAACTCCAAACTGGTTCAGAGAGTCCTGAGGGTGTTGAATACAATCAGCGTGCTACACTAATACCACAAAACAAAGAAAATGGCAAACATTCTTACAATACAAGGGCCAACATGGTGAGATGACTTCTCAGAACTTGTGGTGGTCTCATAAGGGCATGTGTTGCGACACATAGCTTCCTATGTGAAGAGCCACTGGGCAACTTTGCCCTATTTTCATCTTCTGAACAAACTGTTGTAACTGATGTTAGGAAATGTTCCATCCCTTTTCACTTGTATTGGTGTCTTTTGTCTGATTACAAGATTCACACTGGAGAAAAATAGAGTTTAGAGGGAAAGATTTTAAATATCTAAACAGTCTTATGATTCAAAAATAAATTTTACTAACATTTCAGTTTTTATTCTTGCATGCAAACACATGTATTTATGGTATAATTACAATGTAGAGAACACTTGATTTTCTTTTAAAAGGCTATTTTATAATACGAATAGTGGTTGATTATTTTAGAGGCTCTAAAAAATGTGAGGAAAATAACACAATTCTACTCTATCAACATTTGGATATCCTCATTACTTTTATAGCATGTGTAAGATAGTATATTATTTCTTGTTTTAATCTACTCTCCCAAGTTGTAATGTATAATGATCTCAATACCACTTGCAATGACTGCATGACCTTGCCTTGAATGATGGTACCATCTTTTAGAGAATAGATTATATGGTATTTCAATTACAGAGTTGGGCATTTTCAGTGGTATTTTTTTTTCAGGATAACAAGTTGTGCAAGTTGAAAGCTGTAGTAAGTGTGTGTGTGTGAGAGAGAGAGAGAGAGAGAGAGACAGAGACAGAGACAGAGACAGAGACAGAGACAAAGAGAGACAGAGAAAGAGGAGAAAGGAAAGAGACAGACAAATAGACAGACACAGACAAAGAAAGACAAAGTCAGAGAGAGACAGAAAATAGATTGATAGATGATAGATAGATAGATAGATAGATAGATAGATAGATAGATAGATAGATAGATGGATGGATGGATGGATGGATGGATGGATGGATAGATAGATAGATAGATAGATAGATAGATAGATAGATAGATAGATAGTACATGGTGAGAGTATACAGACTTTGACTAGAGAATCAGAAGATCCAAGTGTTATTTGCATCACACTTAGACCTACCTAGGTTTTCTTGGCTGAATTAACTAGCAACAGCAGACTACCTTAGATGAAGGCTAACAAAATAGAATTCGTCATGAGACAGCAGCCTTCTCTCTTATATATCTCTTTTTTATTTGCCAAATTGATCAAGACAGTAGTAAGAAGCTTGCCATTTCACAACCAAACATCAGTTCACAAATGTCCATTTGTCAGCCCCCCTTGGATAATTGGAAATAATTGTTATACTAAATTGTGTGAATGGAAAAAATACATATGAGAAAATGTGTGTTGTATAAGACAAGTAAAACATGGCAAAACTCCTTGCTCTTTATTTTCTTTCCCCAGATGGGAAAGAATTAAAACGAAAGCTAGAAAGCACTCCTCACATACATCTCAAGACTAAGGTCTATATGAATCTACTTTGTATTTCAGTGCTGAGGACTGAACACGAGGCCTTGCACATGCTAGTCAAGTGCTCTACCACTGAGACACGTCCTGAGCTGAGTTCACCCTTTTAATGAACATATAAATGGTAAGTTCACCAGTCTAAACAATGTATTTAACAAAAACTATGAAAATATTAGCTAATTTTTATTACATCAGTAAAGTGGTCATTAATATTGATTAGGTAAATTCCAAAAAAGAGGATTTATTGTATTTATAAAGTGCATCAAGTACATTTTTACATTTCATCGCATTTTGTGACTAAGCTAATCAATAAATTTTAATCCAGGAAATAAAAATACTAACTAAATTTAATAGTCTTATCAGATGGCCATCACTGCTGATAAAGTTGCTAATGGGGATTGCTGAGTACAAATATGTCATGTGTTTTATATACTTATTTTACTCATTTATTATTTTTTTAATTTATAAATTAATTTGGTTCTTAAGAAAAGTTCTCACTAAATAACCCCACATTGATTCCAGAACTTATTACGTTGACCAGGCTTTCTTCAAGCACATAACAATCCTCCTGCCTCTGCCTCCTGAGTTTTGGAATTATTGTCATAAACCACCATAGCCAATACTTTTTCTTGTTTAAATTGGTATACACCTTCTACTCTCTGAACATCGGATGAACCTGGACCACATTGATAATACCTGCTCAACTGGAACAAACAGTAAGTAAATTTTTAACATGTGGCCTCCTTTCTTTTTGTCAAATGATTTGGTAAAGTTCAATCAAGAGAGCTGAGCAAGGATCTTCAAACAAACCACACTCTAAGAAGGCTTTCAGAGGCCATGCAGCAAGAATAATTTTAAAGGCATAATACAGCGTGCGGTAGAAAGTGTAGATGGATTCTCACAGCAACAGCATTAAGCTGAAAATAAGCAGCAGAGATTCAGTCATGTGAAAGAGTTTCTACCCTACAAATCCCTGAAGGTTTTGAATAAGAGCATTTAGAATAATGGCTGTGTGGTACGGTACGAGCAGTGTGTGGTGGGTTAGATCTGTCCAGTCAGGTTACATTTACCATCTTCCCTCCGAGGCACAGCACTCAAGCTATAAAAAGCAACCGAAGCCTGGATAAATGTCGGTGTGCTGTGAAGATGCTAATTCTCCTTTGTTCTAAAGGTATAAAGGGGCCCAGCTGCTAATAGAGCAAGGGCATTGGAAAGTGAAGAGCTGGCTTAAGTCCCCATATATCTGCGGTGTGACCTTGGCATAGCGTCTTGGAATTTCAGCTTCCTTCCCAGTACACTGTGGGTAGTGTCCTTATACCTGTCCTTATCTCAAAGTATACACATGTAGTAAATGATACACCAAGAGAGAATGGAGGTTAACTGAGTACCAGGTACCTACTAGTTGTTCAACAAATAGTTGTTTTACACCTTTACTTTTAAAAGATTCTGCAATAAATACTGACACTCTGATGTCCATGTAATCCATGCTATGGAATTTGAATATTGCTTAGTTTTTAGTATTATCACATAAGCTCAAAGCATTCCTTTAGCTTATCTGTGTTTTTCACATATTTCTTATATATTTTATTTCATGGTATTTATCATTACTTAATATCCATGTACTTATCTGTTTCAACTTCCTGCCCTCAAAATAAGAGCCTAGGAGAACAAGAGACAAGAATACTGTTCAATGATGAACATATGATGAACATTCACTTGCAAAACATTGTGCCTATTACATAGTGGGAAATTTAATAAACATTTGTTAAAAGGAAAATAAGTTTATCTCATTTAAAGCTGACAGCAGCACTTCTAATTGCAATGAGCAACAACACACCCAACTACTTGTAAATAAATACATACAAGCTAGATAATATGCTTTTCCAGCTCCATTTAAACTAACCGTACTCGGAACATGGGCAACATTTAATCAATATTTGTCAAGCACACCAGTATAAATCTCTTATTTAAGCAGTACATATGTGAGAAATGGGGGGAGGTATATCTGCTGAAGAAAGACAAGTAAAAGACATTAGTGATTTTTGTGGAGGTAAAACACTACAATCATATATCTTCTGGAAATGTAGACTCATAATTTCCATATCAAGCCAGGTAAAAGCTTTATAAAACACAATAATGTGGAACTGAACTGTCATTCATGTACATGCATATCTACAAGTCTAAGACCACAAATGTACATGTGCACTGTGTGTGGATATGCATATGTACTTCATAGTAATATAGTATATTTCTGCCTATTTTTGACTACCACATTAATATATTCATAAAGGTATAAAAAACAGGCCATAAAAGTGCTCAGACATTGTGAAATAACAGCATAAATACTAGTATTAATTCTGCATGTCAGATGTCACCAGATCAAGTTATGAAGAAAGGAGAATCCTAAATGTGGATGAAAATAACAGCTAAATAGGAAATAAACTTAAAAAAAGAAAACACTTAGACATAAATGTTTACTATCTTTTTTTCCCCCACTATAGATAAGAGGACTGAAAAAACAGTTCTTGGGAAAGGGGAACTGGTTAATTATTTGCATTGGAATGCAAAGTAAACACCTCTGGGCTCTCTCCCCTTAGCTTGGGGTCTTTGGAAGCCAGGAAGAGTGTGTGTTTTTAAAGAGAACATGGCCAAGCTCCCTCCCCCACACCCTCTCCACTTCAGCTCCTGCCAGGCATGAGCTAGAATCTTTTGTGGCACACCATTATAGTCTTAGGAAGTCACACAGTCATAAAGGGGAGAAGAGAGGTTCCACATGCACTGCCCCAGGACTTAAAAGCCCCCCATGCTGCCTCTTGAACCAGCATGAGGTCCACTAAGGACCCACAGAACAGAACAGTGCAGGACAGAACAGCCCTGAAGCTGTTTCAGAAAAACGTTCCTCCCCATAAGACATTTTATTCTCTTTGTTTATTAAATGTAGTATAAGAAATAATGCACCACACTTGTGTGGTTTCATCCTGAAGCCAGACCCTGTCCTTACTAAGGGATCCAATCTCATAAGCCCAAATTTGCATCCTTCCCCATCTGCTTTAGAGGGAACTCACTGCACATTTCTCTTATGAAATATTTCTGAGAGGTTATCATGGGTATTGGTAGTAGAGGGCAGCGCTACTAGGTAATGAAGACTCATAATCACGCACCCCCGTCCACATACACACACATGCTTAGAAGCTTCTCCCTACCTTTTCTGTCATTCTCTATTAAAATATTCTCATACAGTTCCCACCCCACCTCACCTTATCCCAGCCACATTATTCCTCTTGAGAACAGTCTGGCATCTTCCAAACTGGCGTGTTAAATTCCCTGTAAAAAAAAAAAAAAAAGAAGAAGAAGAAGAAGAATGTTTAACATGCTGTAACACACTGCCTACCCCCACAAAGCTCACACATACACACACACACACACACACACACACACACCACACACGCACACATGCACATACAGATATCCTCCACCACATGCATGCAAATACACATTCCACACACATGCAGACACATACTACACACACAGAAATATCCCCCCACAGACACCCACACACCCACATATACCACACACACACACACACACATGCACGCACACAACACACATCACACACACATCACACACACACACACACACACACACACACACACACACACACACACACACACACATACACCTCAACCCCACACCCTCCCACACACAAAGCACATGTCATTTTGTGCCCCACATTGCAGGGAATTCTGGCAGTTTTCTGCACCTTTGCTAGTAGAAAGGTCCAGTTCACTTTAAATCTAGAAGCCGAGGGGAAATTAAAAGATAACTGCAATAGAACCGAAAGGAATTATTGCCATTTTAAGATCAGAAACAAGGAAAATGTTCACTGACAAGTCCTCTCTCCATAACCAGACTTGAAAAATTCTCCAGAAAAGGAGGCGGTAGAACAAGGGAACAGAAAAGGTTAAAGAATGAAATGGACAACCATGAAAAGATTTATAATTTACTTTTAAAATAAATCAGCAAAGGGAGGCCTGATCTGCCATTTGCTCTGAGGGCTCTGGGGTCTCACACTGAATAATATTCTACAGCCCATTTTGATGTACACTGAAATTAACAGTCAGCCACTTTATGAAATATTATCTTTGTTAGCTTTACCACTAACAAAAATACACTTCCAATTTTTCACATCCACACACTACCTCTATTACAGCAATCGGGAAATTAGTTGGAGATAAACTATACAGCGATTTTATTCATAGCCTCGCCATATCTCACACTGTCAATCTGCATCACAGCTCACTAAATAGTGCCTAATGTTTATTGCATTTAACTGAATGTATACGATTCGGAAGGTTCGCCAGGGACCGATTATCATAATTATACATGTTTCTATGGAAACCCACAAGTCTATCAGTTTTGATTCATTATATTGTTATACCTTCTAGCACTTTCTAATTATTAGGTGCCCATAAAAAGTCTCCGTCTTGCTGTTACTATAGAAATGAGCTATAGACGGGCCTCAATTGTTAACCCTTAAAGGACCAAAATATATAGACTCAGATAGCTGGTAGCTCTTCATGTGGCTGAAATAGCTAATATTTCCACCTATTACTAAATTTCATAATTGATTTGCTCTTGTTAATTTCTGGAAATACTTCAGTTGGACAACTCATGAATAATCACCACAGATTTTATGAGATTGTCCTGAGTTTGAGATTCCCTCTCCTTATGCATTTCTTCAGGTATGATAAAAGACACACACACACACACATAAAAAAAAAAAAACTGAGCACAACAATGAATGAGTGATCACAGAGTGTAAAATGAAAAGTCTTTCGAGACTGGTCCCTTCTTTCATAGATACAGACACACTTGCTGATGTAAACATGGAATTATGTGTTAAGTGAGAAAACAGAGAGATCAGCGGATAATAGAGGAAGCCTGGGTACAGAGTCTTTAAATCAAGCATCTAAAATTGCTTCACAGCAATATGGCTATTTAGGTATAATTTAATATTGCTGCTTAAATTGCAATTTGTAATTTAATATTTTCATTTTACTTTTTCTCTTACATTCACTAACAGAATCTGTGAAAATTGAAAGGGACTGAGCAGTTTCATTGTCT